CCCCAAAACCCCAAAACCCCAAAACCCCAAAACCCCTTTCTCAACGACTTCCTTGAATAAATATAAAATTATAAATTATGGACAAAGCAAATGTGGCCAAAGAGGACCTTGTCAAAGTTGTAGAAGAAGAGGGCGAATCCAAAGGTATTGTAGTAGCAACTCTTGGCAAAGCCTGTTCAGAAGCAGAGACTCTTATAAAGATGATTGATTCAGGTATGAATTATGTCAGGATCAGGCTATGTCAAAATAATTCATCTGATTCGAATGAATCGATCTTGGATTGCCTTCATGAGACATTTAAATACAGGCCGCATAAATAAATGCAAACTTCTTGTTGATATCAGAGGAAGAGACATTACTATTGGTGCCTTTGAAGATAATCAATCCTTCGTAGACGTTGATATAGGAGAAGACATTGAGATTTATGTAGATGTTGAAGGAACTACCCCCTCAACAAAATCCAAACTTGTTACTCCTGAGTTAAACATAGATAGACTTTTGAGGAAGGGGGATCTTGTTTATATCGGGGATGGATCAATCAAATGCTCAGTATTATCGAACGAAGACGGAACCATAATGCTGAGGACAAAATCAGAAGGAAGAGTTTATGAATATTCTTCTATAATTATTCCTGATAAGCATTCCTCACTTTCAATTATTCAGGAAAGAGATATAAAAGATCTAGAAGAACTTAGTAAGAATCATAAAATAGATTATATCTCTATTCCATATTGACAAACGGATGAAGATGTTAAAGTTGTAAGAAGACTCCTCCCCTTCCTCGAACAGACCATCATCATGGCCAAGATTGAAGACAAATAACACCAAAGTCTTCAGAGAAGCTGATGGTGTCATCATCCAGCGAAGAGCTCTCGGCCTTTCAATTGTCTCAGAGAAACTGTTTGCTCTGCAGAACTTCCTGATCGAGCAGTGAAAACTCAATGCCAAACCAGTTTTAGTTGCAAACGAAATTATTGAGTCAATGATGGACGGAGCACAACCGCTCAGGTCGGAGATCGCAGACATCCAGAACTCACTTGTAGAAGGTGTCGACGGAGTCATTCTTGAAAGAGAAACTTCACATGGAATGCACCCAGTCGAAGCAGTAGCTGCCGTGTCATCGACAATCTCGGAAGCAAAATAGCTTGGTTGACCCAGACAAGAAGTATGACACTTTGTTGTCGGTGTGTGACTACGAAGACAAAGATGAGCTATTGGTGATGAACCTAGCAAAGATCATTCTAGACAAAGACAGAGAACCAATTGACTACATACTGACTTTGTCTAAGCAGGGGAAGATTGCAAGATTGTTATCAAAATATTCGTTGCCTGTGGAAGTAATGGCATGTTGAACCGACTCCAAAATCGTCAAGCAACTCAATTTAATTTCAGGAATAAAATCAGTTAAGGTGCCGAATTACACTACCAAACTTCTTGGCCCAGATCATCTTTTGAATATAATAATAAGAACGAACAAGAGCATGGGTCTTGGGAAAGAAGGAAACTGGATAGTCGTTTTCCGCTCAAAAGAGAAAGATGGCAGCCAAGATGAGACAGACCACTATTTTAAATTTGTAAAGATTCAATAAGTCTTTAAATCGTAGGGGTTTTGGGGTTTTGGGGTTTTGGGGTTTTGGGGTTTTGGGG